TATATAGTGGCGTCTGCCTTGGAGTGAAAATCTCTGTAGAATCATTGCAGTTCTGTTTTGTTTTGTTTCTCCTGTGATGACACACGCTTAGATATAACTATTATGGAAAAGGTTATTAATTTCCTTGGCCTATTCTGAGAATAGCTCCTTTCCCTTCTTGCTTTAATTAAAACCTGATTCTCACCTAAGGATATCAGTTGCATTTTAGCTCCCATAGGCAGCAGTGCTTTTTTTCCCCTGTGCTTTTGTACCACCCACCCTAGAAGAATAATATGAAGTGTTTCTAGATCACCACCGTTCACTCTTCGAAGATTTTTATCTCTTGACTCATCATCACTCACTCTTTCGCAACTCTTAATTCTTGTCAATTTCAGTATCTACATAGAGATATTCTCTTTTCCTTAGTTTCTTTGCTATTCCATTACTATACAGTATAGATACAAAGATTTAAAAAAAGCTATATACCTCCCTCATGAGGAAATTCCTTGTGGACAAAGGACAGACAGAAATCAGTCATCCCTCTGCTCACATGAGATAAGCACATATCTGATTGCTTCCTTTGCCCTACTTTTTCACTAAACCAGACTAAGGCACACGTGATTCTTCCTGTAAATTGTGTATTCAGTGAAAGGCGAATCAGAAACTCAAGAGATTGCAGTTTTTTGTCCCTTATCTATCTATGACCTGGAAGTCCCCTCTCTGCTTCAAGCTGTCCCGCCTTCCTGTAACCAATGTACATCTTACATATATTAGTTGATGTCTGAATCTGTGTCATGGATGCACCCTTAACATTGGCAAAATAAAATATCTAAGTTGACTGAGATCTATCTCACGTATTTTGAGTTCACACTTGTTTAATGTATCTTTTGTGATAGGTGTCTCAACCGTTAACCTAGTGATAAGTGAGGAAAAGAATCTTTTCTTGCCTGCATTTGCATCCCCTCGAAGGTTGGAAAAAATCCAAAATTATGCTGAATTTTCCCATGTATAATATGTATCTCTTCCAGGCTCTTAATGCTGTTTCAAAACTTACATTTCCATAGTTTTTCACTTTCTTACCCTCCTAAAGAAAACCTATTTTATGCTTTTCTAATCTAAAGAAACTTGACAAGGAATCCCAACACCAAATTTACCTATCTGCTGTGTGTTCTGCCTCCCTTCACATTTTCATGGATGGACTACTGTGTTTCTGCTTTGATCTGAGTGCTGTGTCCCCCCAGAATTCCTATGCTGAAATCTAACCCCGAAAGCGATAGTATTAGGAGGTGGGACCTTTTAGAATTGATTAGTTCGTGAGGCCAGAGCCCTAAAAAATTAAACCAGTGCCCTGTTAAACACGAGAGAGCTTCTTCCACACTTCTACCATGTGGAGTTTTAGCAAAAAGATGGTCATCTTTGAACCGGGACGTAAACCCTCACCAGACCGTGAAACTGCTGGTGTCTTGATCTTGGATATCTTAGCCTCCAAATTGTAAGAAATAAATTACTGTTGTTCATCAGCCACCCAGTTTATGGTGTTATAACTGCCTGGTCTACTACAGTTCCTAACTAATACAAAGTCCTCAATCCTTGTGTTTCCCCCACTTAGGAAAATCAATACAGTAATTATCGGTTTACTCTCTTGTGTGAGCAAATTTTACCACTCCACTAGATCACTGTCATCAAAATAAAAACATGCTACACTTCCTTGACTCCATACTTATACCACTGTTACAGGAAAGGGGCCCAGATCCAGACCCCAAGAGACGGGTCTTGGATCTCATACAAGAAAGAATTCAGGGTGAGTCTGCAGTGCAAATCAAAAGCAAGTTTCTTAAAAAAGTAAAGTGGTGAAAGAACAGCTATTCCATAGACCGAGCAGGGCATTTCCTAAAGTAAGAGGAGGAACGTGTCCACTGTAGGTACAATGCTTGCTTATGTACAGGATACAAAAGATCATGGGTGGATATGCTCTGCTATAAGTGTTTGCGATAAAGGATTAATTTCTTAATTACTACATTTTGCAAGAATAAATATAGTTGTCTTTAAAACAAAATTAGGAATGCCGTTGTTCTCAAGACGTTAGCATGTTAGAACACTCCCAAGTCTGGGTCTGTTGAGTAAACATTATCAATCTGTTCCCTTAACCATAAACACTGAGAGACTAGGAATGCCTAAGTTTCTGGGGATGCAGCCCAGCAAGTCCCAGCCTCATTTTCCTAGCCCTCACTCAAGGTGGAGTCACTCTGGTTCCTATGCCTCTGACACCAACACATATCCCCAATTTATAACCTCATTTTCTTTCAGATGCCTTCTAATCCGGCTTTTGCTTATANGGTGGAGTCACTCTGGTTCCTATGCCTCTGACACCAACACATATCCCCAATTTATAACCTCATTTTCTTTCAGATGCCTTCTAATCCGGCTTTTGCTTATACAAATCCATTAAAATGGTTTTGTTAAGATCACCAATGACTTCCACATTGCTAAATCCAGTAGTCAATTCTCAGTCCTCCTTTTCTTTACCCATTAGCGGCATTTGACACAGTTGATTACTTCCTCTTCTTGGGAATATTTTATCCACTTGGCCTCTGGTTATAACATTCACCTGTTTTTCTATTATTGTTTGGACACTCCTCATTGGTCTCCTTCTATGATTGTACCTTTTCTCCCAGCTTGTAAAGGTAAGGAGTGCCTCCGAAGTCTTAGACCTTTTCTGTCCCCTACGTGGAATCCCCTAGAAATTTCATCTAGGATGAATCCGAAATTTATATTATCAGGTCAGATATCTCCTCCAGACTCAAAATGCAACTGCTATGTTCTGCTATCACATTTATTTTGGGAATACAAATTTGTATAACAGTAATTAATATTATGGCACTTAGTGACTGATATTAGTTTGAACATAATGGTAATTTCAGATTTGCTTTTATTTATGCCAATTTTGTCTCACTATGGGAATGGATGTAGGTATGTTTCTTAGGCGCAGGGATTTTAATTTTGGTTTATTTATTTCGCTGCTGTTTGTTTTTGTTTTGTTTGTTTGTTTGGATAATGGAACCATGCCAGGCATACCATAGAGGCTCGATAAATATTTAATTTAAATATTTAAATGAACAAAAAAGTGAATTCAGGAGATGGTGTGAAGTCCATGGCGATTACATGCAAAAATTTTTATGTGCATGTAACTTTCTGTGGAGAAAGATCATAATTTTCTTCAGAGGTTGAAAGAGGTCCTTAATCATCCACATAAACCAGATTGATAATATGATTCTAGCAATAACCCAAAAGGTCATTTTTTGAGCATCATTCTTAGCCCGTGTAACTTAAATGTTCATATAGCCGTGATAATGATGAAATAACATGTTAATCTGTAGATTTGCTATGTTGGACAATTGTAATGTGCCAATGTGCTAACAAGGTTTGAAGGAGGTACATCTCACACATTAGCCTGAAAATCCAAACATCACAAATATGAACCACAAAAGAATCATATATATGAATTTTGAAGACTAAACCCCATTGCTTAAAAAATGGATTTTAGCATGTAAGATGACAGTATTGCTAACACTTTTGGCCTCAGAAAAGCAACTTATCATCTATAATTCTATTATAGAATGTTAGCATTTTGTAATATACTCTTTGGGGCATCTTTTCATGCATAACAGTTACTGCTTTAGAGATGAACAAGTATTGTAAGGCTGTTAACCTCTTTTGTTTTCTGAAAGTTTAAAGTTTTATATGTAATACCAACAGAATTTTCTGAAGTATGTAGTGTAAAAACTAAAGAAACAGCAAAATGGTTTACAGAACAAATAAAATTAATGTTTAAAAAGTATTTTCAGAAATGATATTGATTATGCACAAACTATTTAGACCTTTATTTATACCTGCTTCTATCTTATTTTGTAAAATGTCATATGCTTGGTTGCCCAGAGTGACTGCTACAGGTAGACACACTGACAACAGTGAGATGAAATCCTCATGTAGGTAGGAAAGAAGGAAACGACATAGAGACTAACTTAAATATACAAAAAGCAGAGCAACATGAGGCCATTTTGTATGGGAACCAATAGCTGTTCACAAGGTCATAGTTTTATAGCCACTATAATAAAACCATAAGAAGTACTGAGGGGGAAAAAAGGAGTAATCTCTAATTCAGACAATAATAAGAAATCCAGGTAAAGAAAAAAGGATGAAATCTTCAGCTATTGGAAATATGTGGCTTTTTAGAATTATCTGTTTTCAAAGAATTACTGTTTCAGCTTTACAGTTAAAATATTGACTTTTTTATTGAGAAATAGTTGTCCACAAATGACTCATCGAAGATCTGTTAGGAAGATGTGTGACTCAGAGAGGAGGAAGGTAAAATCTCTAATCACAATACTGCTCTTTCTATGTGGTTAATGAAGACAAATTAGGAGCCTAATTAAAAGATTTGTATGTAGATAAAAGGAAAGTAAATGTAATTATTAGGGTGGGGTCAGCATTCTGCAGAGAGATATGTACTCAAACATGAAGGAATTGAAATAGAAACTCGGAAATAATTGCCTGGTTTCTTCCTTATCATCTTTGATCTGAGGTCTGAGCCAACATCTCAGTCAAATGGAGTGGGGCCCATATGACATAGAAACCAGCCCCAAAAGAGAAACTTCCAGGCCAGCCTTGTTTGAACTGATTGACTGTTAGGTGCAATGTTAAAAAAAAAAAATGGATCATTGAACTATATTATTCTATATGGAACCTGAAAATAATAATAAAAACTTAGAATTATAAATCTCTCTGACAACATAGATGGGCCTTCCTTTAAAATCTGGTATTCTGCTTTATGCTCACACATAAGTGCATCTCATTTTTGTTGACTAAAAGCTAAAATTCTTCCAGGTCCTTCCCAGGATCACCTTCTCCAGGAAGCACAGCATTGTCATAGCTAGTAAGATCATCGATGACTTCATTCCTTGTTTAAAATTAGTTGAACAATTTTTCATTGGTAAAATTACTATAAATCAAAGGAGAATTACCTTTAAGGTTGTTTTGAACTTCTAAAGCTATATCAAGTGCATTAAAGGGCAGAACAGGTTCGTTGGCAATTTGCAAAATCACTTCTCCCGAAAGCTGAAAGAAAAAAGAAAAAAGGAAATACTAACATTCAGTAATTAGGAGTTTTCATTTGTTTGTTTTTCATGCTTTCAGATATTTTTATACATCTAGAGCAGCAAAAACACACAATAAAAATCTAGTTTTATAAAATCTCATTTTTCTTTTAAATCCTTACTTTTGTCTTTCTATAAAGAAAAAGACCTCAGTAACTTTTTCACATTTCAGAATAGTATAAAGAAATATATCATTCATTTTCTGAGCTGAAATATTAAGAAATGGCTTCCCTCATTGAAAGAGTTGCAATATTTAGACTTTAAATAATTCCTTACAGTTCATAATATCACATGACCAAACAAGCAGTAGAGAGGAACAACTGAAAATCAATGTCTGGTTATTGTACTAAGCAAAACTTCAGACAAAATTAATGATTGATTTATTTTATTTGATAACCTACGGGCCACATTTGCCAGTTTACTTTGAAAGTAAACTTGGCTTCCAAGTTAACCTGTCTTGTGATTTATGGTAACATCCTGTCACTAAAGAAATTTTTCTGAGTTCCTCAAATTACATACTGATGAATACATAGCCTAATGACATTGAAAAGGATGCTTATTTGTCTTTGAATCATGAAATTTTGCTGATTTGTTTCAGAATCAGGAAGTTCTGCTGATTGTCCTGCATGTAGACATTTTAACCTGTATGTTGACATCTGTAGCCAGTGATTGTAACCTCTGCATTATACCCTCCAGCAAAAAGAACAACTCTGATATGAGGAGGCTTCCTCCCTTCTTCTAGACTTCCTTAGGAAACCCTCCCAACTTGGAACAGACTCTGCGGTGGTGTGTCTTCACGGGTGGATCTTTACATTTGGCTTCCAATAAACCTCCCTCAAAATCTTAAGTACTATTTTCCTTCATGTTTTTATTCAATTCCTAACTGCTTTTTAATTTTTACAATTTTCTATAATCAAAACGAATAGTATTAATACATATTTGAGATCAATGATTAAAATAAATAAATAAAAAGTTTAAAAGACATCCCCAAAGCTCATATCTGCAATTTTCATACATACATAATTCCCCCATGACCCTACCCACATGCACTTCAGCTGAACTAGCATCTGCTTAATAGGCTGAACAAGTCATATGCATTCATACACATCTCAGAGGACCTTCGGGCTGGCAGCAAATGCCATTGTTATCTCTCTCTCTCTCATAAGTGATATTTAATATTTACCTGGGCTTAACAAATGTACCTACATCTCTCATAACCCTGAAGGCAGCACACAGGGAAATGTGACTATGTTGATATTACTAATGCAGTAAGAAATGTGGTTAGTGAATGAAAAACATTGTCTTGTGAAGCTACACAGGGGAAATTAGCACACTAACGACACAGAATGCATAAAAGATATAACTTACAAGGAAATTATGATGTTTATATCCAAATATATACATTCAACAAGGTCCCAATTCCACTTAATATTTGATAATGGGTTGGCTCTGTGTCCCCACCCAAATTTCATCTTGTAGCTCCCATAATTCCCATGTGTTATGGGAGGGACCCTGTAGGAGATGATTGAATCATGGGGGCATGTCTTTCCCATGCTGTTCTCATGATAGTGAATAGATTTCATGAGATCTGATGGTGTTTCCCTGATCTCTTTTTTCCTGCTGCCATCCATGAATGATGTGACTTGTTCCTCTTTGTCTTCCACCATGATTGTGAGGCTTCCCCAGCCATGTGAAACTGTGAGTTCTCAAACCTCTTTCCTTTGTAAATTGCATCTTGGGTATGTCTTTATCAGCAGCATGAAAACAGATTAACACAGTAAATTGGTACCAGGAGTGGGGCACTGCTGATAAAAAAAAAAAAAAAAATTGAAACTGGGTAATAGGCAGAGGTTGGAACAGTTTGGAGGGTTCAGAAGAAGACAGGAAAATGTGGGAAGGTTTGCAACTCCCTAGAGACTTGTTGAATGATTTTGACCAAAATGCTGATAATTACAGAAAAAATAAAATCCAGGGTGAGGTGGTCTCAGATAAAGATGAGGAACTTTTTGGGAACTGGAGAAAAGGTGACTTTTGTTATGTTTCAGCAAAGAGATTGGTAGCATTTTGCCCCATCCTTGAGATTTGTGAAACTTTGAATTGAGAGAGATGATTTAGGGAATGTGGTAAAGAAATTTTGAAGTTGCAAAGCATTCAAGAGATGACTTGGGTGCTGATACAGGTATTCAGTTTTGAAAGGGAAACAGAGCATAAAAGTTTGGAAAGTTTGCAGCCTGACAATGCAACAGAAAAGAAAATCCCATTGTCTATGGGATTTATTCAAGCCAGCTGCAGAAATTTGCATAAGTAACAAAAAGCCAAATGTTAATCATCAAGACAATGGGGAAATGTTTCCAGGGCGTGACAGAGACCTTTCAGCAGCCCCTCCCACCACAAGCCTAGTGGTTTTGGAGGAAAAAATGGTTTTGTGGGCCAGGCCCAGGGTCCCTCTGCTGTGTGCCATCTGGGGACTTGGTGCCCTGTCTTGTAGCTGCTCCGATCGTGACTAAAAGAGGCTAAGGAACAATTCGGGCTGTTGCTTTAGAGGGTGGAAGCCCCAAGCCTTGGTAGCTTCCACATGGTAGATTTGAGAACCTCTGCCAACATTTCAGAAGATGTATGGAACTGCCTGTTTGCCCAGGAAAAATTCTGTTGCAGGGGAGAGCCCATCCACTGCTACAGCAGTGTGGGAAAAGGAATGTGGGATGACAGCCCCATACAGAGTCCCTATTGGGGCACCACCTAGCGGAGCTGTAGAAGAGGACCACCATTCTGCAGACCCCAGAATGATAGCTGCACTGACAGCTTGCACCCTGTGCCTGAAAACGCCACAGACGTGCAACACCAGCTTGTAAAAGCAGCCAGGTGTGGGGTGCCTATACCCTGCAAATCCACATGAGTGGAGGGAATCTACCTCCTGCATCAGTCTAACCAGGATGTGAGACATGGAGTCAAAAGAGATCATTTTAAAAAGAACTTTAAGATTTGACTGCCCTGCTGAATTTCAGACTTGCATGGGGCCTACAGCCCCATGTTTTGGTCAATGTCTCCCATTTGGAATGGCTGTAGTTACTCAATGCCTGTACCCCCATTGTATCTAGGAAGTAACTAACTTGTTTTGATTTTACGGACTCATAGGTGGAAGGGACTTGCCTTGTCTCAGATGAGACTTTGGACTGTGGACTTTTGAGTTAATGCTGAAATGAGCTGACACTCTGGGGGACTGTTGGGAATGATTGGTTTTGAGATGAGATGATATGAGATTTGGGAGGGGCCAGAGGTGGACTGGTATGGTTTGGCTGTGTCCCCACCTAAATATTATCTTGTAGCTCCCATAATTCCCATGTGCTGTGGGAGGGACCCAGTAGGAGATGATTGAATAATGGGGGGTGGGTCTGTCCCATGTTCTTGTGATAGTGAATGGGTCTCACGAGATCTGATGGTGTTAAAAACGGGCATTTCCCTATACAAGCTCTCTTTTTGCCTGCCTCCATCCACGTAAAATGAGAGTTACTCCACCTTACCTCTGCCACAATTGCGAGGCTTCCTCAGCCACATGAAACTGTAAGTTCTCCATTAAACCTCTTTCCTTCATCAATTGCCCAGTCTTCAGCATGTCATTATCAGCAGTGTGAAAATGGACTAATATCATATTTAAATGTTATATTTCCCAAATGTTTGCACAATGCAAGTCATAAAAAAATTTAATCCAATTTGATCTTCTATACGTTTGGAAAAATGTATTTATTAGAAATAAAGAGGAGAAATGACCCCTTTTTTAAGTTCTGAGATACATGTGCAGGATGTGCAGGTTTGTTATATAGGTAAATGTGCACCATGGTGGTTTGCTGCACTGATCAACCCATCATCTAGGTATTAAGCCCCATGTGCATTAGCTATTTTTCCTAATGCTCTCCCTCCCCCCACCTTTACTCACCTAAAAAGGTCCCACTGTGTGTTGTTCCCCTCCCTGGGTCCGTGTGTTCTCATTAAAGAATGACTTTTGATAACCTTTTATTCCTTTGAGGTATTTTTCTCCCAGATGTAGCAACCAATGCCTAAGGTATCTTTGCAGTCTTATCCCCAATGTTGGGGTGCTGAAAAAGGATCTCACAAAATGAGACTTTGACATACCGAGCTAAAGAAAGAGCCTCAAGGTCTCTCAGCCCTTCCCTTGCTTGCCCTGCACCCTTCCAACACCTCTGTCTCTCTCAAACCACAAGATGAGGATGTTCTCTGAAGTTCTCTTATTTATCTAAAAACTAAAATTCCAAAGAGCAACACAGTCATCTTTCATCCCATCTTAGAAATCTCATTATTTGTCACTGAGGGAATCAACCACATCTGAATGGACTTTTTCAAACAGATAGTGTCACTTCTCAGGATGATTCAATTACTAAAGAGAGTCATTTACAAATTAATTTTGTCTCCCAGGTCTTTTCATTCTCCCTAATAATAATTTACTATTCATGAGAAGAATGGTCTAAATTCCCCATCTCCCTCTGCTTTACAAAAAAGGGTACATAAATATATTTCTATACTCCATTGAGTTATTGGGTAATCCTTTTGCAATTCCCCCCGTCATGCACATTAAATAAATATCTATGTCTTTTTCTCCTATTAGTCTGCTTGTTGTCAGTTGATTTTCAGCAAAACTTCAGAAAGTGGAGGGAAAGCTTTCCTTTTGCCCCCTACACCAGCATAGTGAACACAAAAGTCCTGAGAAACTGCCTACTCTGATCAAGCTGTACTTCAGGAAAAAAATTGTCTGCAATAGAGTGATATAAATTATCTTTCAATTCTACCTCACCGCATCCAAATCATACAAGGAACACCAAAATATAAAAACTAATTGTTTATAAAAATAATTTTTAAAATAAAATGAGAAGGATTATGGTTGATCTTTTTTTTTTCAAATTTGAACTGTATAATAGAGACTCCAGAACACATCTGTTTTGTTTATAC